TATATATGTGTGTGTGTGTGTGTGTGTGTATATTTATATATATATATTGAACCCTTCCCACACTCTTGCAAATTCTAAACGATGTTTCTAAACTCTCGACGTTCTAAAAGAGCACAGAATGTCATGATTCCAGCTCCTCTGCTCTTTGCCATCTGCAAGCGCTCTTGGCCACGCCCACTTCTCCGTTCTGCACGGTGAACAGCTGATCAGCTGTAGCAGGAAGTTTATCCTGCAGCTCTGGGCTGCACAAATGTGCAGCAGGTGCTAAATAATTTAAAATAATTAATTTTAAATAAAAAATTTCACGCCAATCGTGCGGCTCATCCATCAGTCAAACAGTTGTGTGTCATGTCCACTCTTATTTTGAAAAACCGCGATAGAGCAACTCCGCGATAAACAAACCGCGAAGCAGCGAGGGACTACTGTAATTCAATAAATTGCTTAAATGTCAATCTTAAATTTGGTAGTAACTGAAAGTCATCCTCAACAAATACTCTAAGTACTTTTGCATCTCATAAGAGCTCATAATATTGCATGTAATTATGCATAATGTCATTTAAATGGTTGGAGCAAAACAAATCTTCAATCCTCCTCAGTGTCATTTAAATTTAAAACTCTATTTTGAAAGGTGGTGTGCAGTTTTCATTCCTAAAATGAATAATCACCCTTTAATATGAATATATATTTAGTCTATCGTACTCATTTAAACTAACACTGAAGGTACACAGAAATGTACAGCAGTTTATGCGCCTCAATTTTCCTTTGAAGCAGTCTGACTTAGAAAGGGAAATTTTATATGGCAAATGATTAATAAAATATTTATTAAAAAGGTTAGGTATTTGATTTTTTTTTTCTTTTTTTACCCTATGCTGCAAACTGATGGATATTAGTGGTGAATTTCAAACTGATGTATGAGCACGGCATGAATCATTTTGTCAGATCTTACACCACATATTGACAGATCTCACTGGTCTAGAAATACGGCTCAATAATAAATAATGGGCTCAAACACGCACGTGATAAAGTGCTTCATTAGAATGGTCTATTTATAAGTGCAGCGGTTTTGTGTGGTTCCTTTTTAAGAGCATTTTTGACAAAGACGATCCTGTCTAATGACTGAATAAAGACGCATCGAGGTGAAACAGCTCTGCAGGTGACTTAAAACAGTATTTTTTTGAAGACAAGCACAAATGAAAACTGATATTTTTGCTTTTTCTATAACACAGACGTCTCCATTTGGCATGCAGATTGTGTTATATTTATGCTACAGTCCTTCATCTGAAGAATACAGATTTTATGGCATCATTAAATTAAATGGAGGGTGGACTGCAGCAGCCAGTGTGTGGCCCCCGCACACCTGACCCTACCTCCTTCCAGCCTTTTATAGCATCTCTTGGAAGCCTTTTTCTTAGTCTGTGTGGTGCAGATGCCTTGCTGGGCTCTGAGCTTGTTTGCACTCAGTGACCAGGCAACAGTTGTGTAGCAATGGTTACCAGGACAACACTGTACATGTCACCTCGTGATTTCATGAGGGATTGATTGACTGAGAAGGGATGAGGAGAGGGGGGGAGAGAGGTGACGGGGATTGGAGGCAAGAGCACTTTGATGACATGGAGACGAAGATGAAGGGGGAGAAAATGGGCAGAGAGTGCGGATGTTAGAACTGTTGAGAGCCGCACGCGATGTTTTCTCACATGGCGAGGCGTGCACGAACACAGGGCAGTGTAAAATCACAGTGACACTCTGCGCCGGGGGTGAGGGCGAGCTTTGTCTCGAGCACAGATGGATTATGAGAAGTCCATCGTGGGACGAGACAAGCTCGCAGCCACAAACGCTCTTCGAGATTTTCTCTGAACTTTGAGAGAAATGTCCCTGATGAGGAGGAAGGCACGTTGTGAGAATTAATGAGTTTATTTCTGCAGTTTGTGCTGTTAGTCTTGGGGTAGTTGCTGTTTTTCCAAAGTTAAATCACAGTAATTGGAGACTTGGTTCCCTGATCACAGACAGACAACAGACACAGCGTTGGAGATAAACCGATTATTTGACCAACCAATTATTCAGAACATATTAGCCAATTTTCAAAAATCGTCAGTCAGCCATGTCTGTGCGTATTTAATCATTTATCAAGTAGAATAATCAACATCAGCAGCAGCTGCTACAACCACTACAGCCCATAATTTAGATTCTTAAAACAGAAGCTTCTCCTATACATTATTTAAATATGTGCAAGTTCTTCTAAGGGTTGGTAAATATATATATATAAGTTTAATTAAATTAACCCCAACAGTCTCCTGTGACGCTTTGTAATCACATCTAAGTCAATAAAGTCCACAGGAGGTGGGGCTGGGTAAAATTATTTTTTTATATATTTTTTTAAATAAGACCAAAGAAAATGCAACTGCTGTTGTTTGTCTGTGTCTGGCTGCCATGATTTCTAAAAATCGGTAATGGTATCATTTGTAAAAAAAAAAAAAAACTTATGTTAGTCGACCTCTGACCTGTAAATGTTTGAGCACCCTTTGTCTAAAAGCATTTTACCTCTAAAAGTGTAAAAAAAATGCATTTATTATTCGCAACGTAATTAAAAGCTTTAAAAAAAAGAGTCTCTCTTGAATCATCTCTTTTGGATTTTAAGGTGTGGTTTGAATCATTCCGCTGCTTTAGAGGCCATCTTGTTCTAATCTTTTTATTGCTGTTTTCTTCCTAAAGTAAAAAAAAAAAATCCTTAAACATAAAACCAAAAGAATTCTGTTTTATACATTTTGTAGCCAAAACATTTTATCCACCTTCAAAATGGTTGCTTTCCAATTATATTTTTTCTGTTACTAAAGCAGAATCTCATGGCAAGAATATTATTTTTTCCAGTATCACTCTACAATAAGGTTTTCCTTATGGATGGCTAATAAATAGTTTATAGATACATTATTAAGTCCTTTATAAACACTTTATAAATCATTAATAACTGCTCATTATGCATTAATTAAGGGTGACTGAGACAAAACTGACCAGGTTCCTGCCAAATACTGAGCCAAATCTGTTCACCTACCATATATATATTTCATCTAGAGTTGTTATATTAAACATTTCAGACTAAGTTACTACCTTGTAAGCACAATAATCATTTGTAAACCTATTTCTTTAGAATATAATACTGTACTTTATAACTGCATTATAATTATCTACAGCTAATATTTTATCTTAAAAAATAGGTTTACAAATGTTTATTGTGCTTACAAGGTAGTAACTTAGTCTGAAATGTTTAATATAACAACTCTAGATGAAATTTATAGGTGAACAGATTTGGCTCAGTTTTTGGCAAGAAACTGGTCAGTTTTGTCTCAGACACCCTTAATTAATGCATAATGAGCAGTTATTAATGATTTATAAAGATTTTTTAGAGGAATTAATAACATATCTAAAAACTCTTTATTAGCATCTATAAGGGGAGCCTTATTGTAAAGTGGTACCATTCTTCCTAATGACTTAACACCAAAAGTTAAATCTGTGTCACTGTTGCAGAAAAATAATTGCACAAAAAATTTCATATTAACAATTTCTTTCTGTAATGTTAATTACAGCTGTTTGGTTTAATTCAGAATTCAAGCAATCCTAAATGTAGCTTTATCTAAAACACAGGTGTCCAAAGTGTGGCCCGAGGGCCAATTTGTGGTCCTTGCAGTGATTTTGTGTGGCCCACAACTGTAGTTTAAGAATGGTATCATTTTGGCCAGCAGGCTTAAGAGGTCGATGCACACTTTCTGCAAATTTGTTGATAATCCCTTATTTTTATAAAAATGTTTAGGTTTAACAGCAAAACAGATGAAAAACTATCTGAGCAATGAGCAATATTAAGCAAAATACAAACCTTTGGCTATGATCTTTTCATTTTCCCTTCATGGTACAAAGCACCAAAAACCTTTACTGACTTCTACAGAAAGGAGACTTTTGGATAAAGATTCATGAAAGTTGGCTAAATGTTGCAGATGATAAAATAATCAAGAGGGAAATTGGACATTTATAAATGAATATAACGTGGTATCATCTACATACGAGTTGATCAACTTTATCAAACTTCCATGAATCTGTTGTAGCGACTGACAGCTGGACGATTTTTCAGAACTTCAATCGGCCTTTTGGGCCGTCCATGGTCCAAAAGGATGATCGACCCACTTTTAAAAGGACACTGACTCAAATTATGCATTTGTTTGTGAGAACAGAGTAAAAATGAACTTTCCAAGCACAAGAAAATAA